ATTTATAAAGCTAAAATAAAAATCCCCAGAAAGTTGTGCATGTACAGGGTATACCCCAAACGCACACTCTCGGCTAGATCAGAGTTTTCTTTTTTGGTTGGGGGGGGGTTTTTCTATCTTAAATTTTTTTCATAATGAAATTTGTGACCCAGGCGCATTGACACGTGCGAGCTGCCGTGTCAGGCGCCCTTTGGCGCTCATTTTGCTGCTGCTGCTGCTGCTGCTGCTGCTTGTCGTTGTTGTCGAATTTAATGCGGTTTGTTATTTATTAGATTTACACAAATGGCATTTTGGGGCCAGTCAGAACCTTACTATCCCAAGCGCCTACCGACGCTTATCGCCTGGGCGCCTGCCAGGCGTTAAGTGCTTGGCCCAACTCTATCGCCTGCTGTGCACGACCAGCACAAAGTACAAAAAAAAAAAAAGGATATCTTTGGCATGCCGAACATTTAATACCCTTGTAGATATTTAAGTATAGTGAAGCTCGTAACTGCTGAGTCTGGGAAAAATATTTTGGAAAGCAGAGTATTTTTCCATAATAGAACCTTCTTTTCGACTGATTGTTCCTATTGCAGTTATATGATATAGTAATCCGATTTTGATACGATTTTGCGTACATGTGAAGAGCATGGTAAAACTTATAAACGCCAATTTTCGTCAAGTTAGCTTGATAAACCAAAAGTTTCGAAGCAAGATCCTGTTTTTCGACTGATTGTTCCCGTGGCAGCTATATGATATATTTGTCCGATCCGGACGAACCCATGCAGAGTTACAAGGCGATAGCTTTAGCCTGGGAGACAGACGGTCATGGCTATATCAAGACGACTGTTGATGCTGATCTTCATATATATCAACTTTATGGGGTCAGAGCTGTGTCCTCTTAGGCGCTACAAATTTCATAAAAAATAATAAAGCCGTCTAAAAGTGTATAGGAAAAGGGAAAAGAAAGAAGAGCGTAAGAAATGCGTATTAAAATTATTGAAAATTCATTCAAATGTCAGGAGCGCAGCGTACAAAACAGACGCAACATGTCGTATGCGTAATATTAAATATTTAAGGCGCTTACATTTTTAATGCCTACCCGTTAGCAATGGGGTTGATTAAGTTGATGCTCAAACCCAAACTCTCGCAATGGGCGGCAAGTGTGGCAGATGTATGAAAGATACGAAATGCTGTGCACGCCAATCACGTGAGACACGCAAAATATTCACACGGAATCGACATAAGAATCGTAATTAATATTGTGCGAGTCGTAGGCGCCTTAGGCTTTATTCGCATCAGATTTCAATTCGCTAACGAACTGTAATTATATTAATTTCAAATCGATGAAGCTGCTTGAACTTGAACTAAAATAGCCTAAACGGGCCAAATCAATTGCTATGGCAACCAGCGCATGGAACTTCATTATTTTGACTAGCCCAAATGTGCAAACTGTGTGCGTGAACTTGAACTCGTTTAGTTCAAGTTTATTTAAGCTGAACTTGAAATTTCGAATTGCAAATCAATCATACGCTCATTGCACTAATGGCGCTGACATTCATATTTTAAATTCAACCCAATATCCACATAAGCCTTCGTCGTATATTTGTTATCTTAAGCAGCTTATCAAAATTGGCATTGAGTATGATTGCGACCAATTAACTGCGTGGCTCTTAGTACATTTTCCGATGTTCAGTTTATAATTAAATTTAAGTTAGCTGCTCAGCTGAACAGACAAAGGAACTATGAGTGTCACTTATCAATGGCCGAACAGACATTATTTTTTTAATGCCCCACGTAAGCTTCAATTAACATTCTTGCATATGCTTTTGAGCAGGCAATGCACAAATGCATCGTGGCCTTTAACTTTTGCATTAGAAGCACCTCAAATGTCGACAGTCTTGCGTATACCTGCAGCAAGAAACAAACAGAACAAGACAAAAACAAGTAAGAGCGCTAACGCGGCGTTCGCTCGACTAGGTGATACCCTAGCTAACGTTGCAAGCCCTTTAAGAGGGTATCATACGTTTGTCATGAAATATGTAACGCACAGAAGGAAACAGCTCCGATCCCATAAAGATCAGACTCAATGGCCGAGTTGATATAGTCTTTTCCGTCTGTCTCTGTCGTCTTGTAACTTTGCATGGGTTCGTCTGAATCGGACAAATATATCATATGGCTGCCATGGGAACAATTAGTCGATACACAGGATCTTGTTTGGAAACTGTTTGGTTTACCACGTTAACTTAACCAAAATCGGCGTTCATAAGTTTTACCATGCTCTGAACAACATCGGAGCACTATATCACATAGCTGCCATACGAACAATCAGTCGAAAATGGGATTCTTTTATGGAAAAATATTCTTTCCATTATGTTCTCACATGCTTGAATCAGGGCTTAAATATGGCATATAAATGTGAGCATGTATCAAAACGCAAGGCTCTTAAGAACTGAGTTTTGGCCATTTTAGCAAGGCTGGGACAACTATTCGAAATATCTAATCATAGTATAATCACATTATTATCATATTATATACAGATACTATACTGCAGCGCTTATGATTGTCGAGTTATGCGCAAAAAACAATGTCGCAAGATTTGATATGTATTGAGGTAGCGAAAATAAGCAAAGATCACGGTAAACAATTTCCAATGGATTCAGAGTATGCAAAACAAAAATGCGGAACTAATCAAATGAACTGGAAAACAGCGAAGTGTTGTCGGCACGTGCGACAAAAACAGAAAACAGAAAAAAAAAAAAAAACAACAACCACAACCACAACAAGTGCCCGGCAGCCAACATATTTTGATTGCCTTTCGCCGGTTAACTGGTTATTGTTGGTGGGATGCAATTTAAATCCAATGGGTCCCAACAATGATAAACAACTCGCTGACAAGGTCAATAGCAAGTGCGTGCAACGAGCCGGCGAACGGCAACATTTCAAATTCCCTCGCACGGCTGCAAGCTCTTTTTGATTTTTAGCATAAAATCTGCATATGCCCAGAGTGCCTCATATACTAATCTATGTGTGCATACTGGCGGCCATTGTCCGGCATTGCACGAGCCACCTTTCGCTTAAAGCCTGAACCCACTGGAAATGGGTTAAAAGGATATCATATGCTTGTGCGTATGCAACAGGCAGAAGGAAGCATCTCCGACTTTATACATATTCTTGATCAGCATCAATAGTCGAGTCGTATGTATGAGCACATCGAACCTCAGAACTTATAAGAGATAATGCCGTGAAACCTAGAACGTAGGTCCTTTTAGCGCGCCGCAGTACAAGTTTTCTTGTCCGATAATCGATAGCTTGCCCCGTAACCAGGCAATCGATACAAATCGATATCGAAATCCTGTTTTTTGAGCAAGTCTCTTGGGTACTAAGAGCTAGAGTCACCAAACTTGACATATAGCTTCTAGAATAGTATATATAGATATATAGATCGGTAGGAGAAGGCAATTGTGCTTTACTTTGCTTTGAATTCAATGCCTCAATACGCATTTCCCAACTGTGAGAATATTTAGACTTTTGCGTTCGAATTTATATAAGCACGTATATTACTGCGCTCTATGTGTCGAAGGTATCATGCAAGCAGCTCATATAACAACTTCTCCTGGAAAAAAGATTCCTGACGCATTTAGCAATGTTTCGCAACGTGTTGTGCGGTCGCAGAAATGACAAACCGTGTTTATGCAATAATATCAATTTCCCCCACGTAAATGGCTCACGTTTTTTGGTCTAAAGAATTTATTGGCATTGGCTCTAACACATTTTACTGGCTTTAAGGCGTCTTCGGGACACGCGCTCCGCCTGTGCATTGCCAGGCGAAACAAAGAAAAAAAAAATGAAATAACCAGAATACAGAACTGACGCAAATACAACGCGGCGTATGCGTAACCCAAGGCTAGAAAAATTGAAGGCAAGGCAATGCGAGCTTTATATACACTATAAGAAATATAATTTTTGTTATAATAATAGCCAGATAGAACTATGGATATTAAATAGATTCATTCAAATGATCAATTTGCCCATTTTACTTTGGTAAAGTTTCTCTTTTGTTTAGCCGGAAAATGTTTAGAAATCTTTGAATACCTTAACTCTTGCCATATTCATGCTACTTAGAAAGACAAAAAAAAATTTTAGTGAAAAAATTCAGAACAACATTTATATTAGCAAAAAGTTCAATTGTTGCCCAAAATAAGATATTTATTATATGCATATTTAATATTTCTGATGCCAGAATCAACCCGCATAAATTGCAAACACGGTCACATACACATGTTACCCATTTATATGTGGCACATGCAGCGTAAAAAAGGAAAAAAAGAAATTCAAACGATTTGCCGCTGAATTTCTATAGATTTTTATAAGGCGCACATACATAAGCCCCCATCCACACCTACCCCCTAATCTCTCATGACCAAAACCCACTTGGAGCCCATAATCAAAACATCTTTCTGCCCACAATCCCAGTTGCCTTTTTCGCTTTCACATTATGCACGTTGTCGATGTTGTTGTCGATGTTGTTGTTGTTGTTGTTGTTGTTGTATTGTGAAGAGGGAAATATGATTACAATGGTTGACACAACACCCGTGCCACGTGAAAAGGAAAAGGTGGGCTGCACGTTGTGTGCGAGCGTGATTCCACACGCATGCATATGTGCACAAATCTATACACAGATTGCTTATGCAGAAATATAATTATATAAATATATGAATTAGTAATGTTAATTTTTTAATGCATAAATAAAAATATATATAAATGTATAAATATGAACACATATGTGCATATATAAAATTTACAGCTGTTTTATATAACATATATTTTATACCCTTACTGCAGGCAAATATTTTACTTTTCCTACGAAACTTATTTAATATACAATTTTCTCGACCTACATTTCCAATTAATCATAGTTTTGTGAACGGATAAAGCGATTTATCGTTTTAGCGATATTTTTATTATGATCTCTAATTTCCAGATTTTTATAAATATAATATGTATATATATACCTATATATAAATATTCAACTTTGATCGGACTATTATCGATGCTCATAAAATACAAATTGTCTGCTTTCGCATGAAAAATATGTTAGAGATATTATAAATATAGTTGATTGAACTCCCCTTTGATCACATTATGATCGATTCTTATCATTAAAAATAAATTTTCTGTTAATTTTCGTATGCAAATATGTTAGATATGAGAGATAATAAGCAAGCTGATTATTATCGATACTTATCGATGCTCATAAAATACAAATTGTCTGCTTTTGCATGAAAACTATGTTAGAGATATAATAAATATAGTTGATTGAACTCCTCTTTGATCAAATTATTATCGATGCTCATTAAAAACGAATCTTCTTTTTTCTTTTCTATGAAAAATGTGTTAGATATGAAAGATATTAAGCCCAGTTTATTATTATCGATACTTATCGATGCGCATTTAAAGAAAATGTCTTGTTACGCTTGAAAAATATATTTCGGCACAAGATATAATAAATCAGGTTGATAAGACTCGTCTTTAATCGAATTATTATCGATACTTATCGATGCTCATAAAATTTAAATATATTAGATATAGCATATAAAGAAACTATCACAGATTAAATCAGAACCAAGACATGTTAAGTGAAAACTTTTCTTGTCATCAAGAATCAATCACTTTACTTTTGCAGCCAAAATGAGAGCATTTGGAGCCCGCAAAGGTAAGCTTTTATTTGGATAAAACGCTTGAATTTTTCATTAAGGCTGTTTGCGCAGTGCTTAATTAATTATAATGGTAATTATAAAATTCGTTTTTAAATCGTTGTCGGTTATTTGCCATGTGCTTTTAGTAAATTCAATTATTTGCGGGCCGGCCACGCGGACGTATCGTATTTATTAAGCAGACCACAAATTCGCTGGTTGGCATTTTAATTAACTTAAAGTGCAAATACCTGGTATTAAGTATTCAAATTCTAATTGAATGACATATTTGGCGTAATATTTTCGAGCTACTCACGTGTCGCTGAAATGAAACAAGATGAAGAAATATTAGATAAATTAAAAAACACGTATATATATTAATGTATGTCACTAAAAACAATCGGAAACATAGTTTGAAGGAAAGGCTTTAAAGAAACAGAACCGTTTTTCTGTTGCAGCCTGTACATATGTCGGAACTGGTCAGATCGAATAACTAAGTATATCATTTCCCAAATAAATTTTCATCAAACTCAGCATTTACGAGCTTTATTCTTCTCACACATCGCCAACAGGCAAGGGTCTACAAGGGTATCAAATCTTCGGCACATTAGGGATATACCTACATTATCGTTCATTCAAATTCTCAACAAAACAATCTCTTTGAATGTACTTCAAAATGAACCCGAACCACCCACTTACTGTAAATATCTAAACTAAGCTACTTTCAAGCTATTGTATACTATAAACAAGTAAGAGGTTCTAGTCGGGAGCTTCCGACTAGGGGATACCCTGAACCCTCTTCTTCCAATATTAAGTGCATATATATATTCTATTTTGGAAGCTATATGTCAAGTTCGGTGATTCTAGCTCTAATTATTTACAAAAATTGCCCAAAAAACAGAATATTGATATCGATTTTTATCGATTGCTTGGAAACGGCGTAAGTTATCGATTATCGGAGACAAACTCGATCTGCGCAGGCACTAGCAGCAGCTCCATATAATTTTCAAGTCTCTAGCTCTTATAGGTTCTGAGAACCTTGCGTTCATACATACGGACAGACGGACGGACGGACGGACAGACGGACATGGCTAGATCGACTCGGCTATTGGTGCTGATCAAGAATATATATACTTCTTCCTTCTGCCTGTTACATAAATTTGGATTTTGCACAAATACAATATACCCTTATACCCATTTTTAATGGGTTCAGGGTATAAAAAGGAAACATCCCAACTTATCAAATGAACTTAGCTGAAATTAACTTTTGTTTTAAATCGATATTTATCGAGGCGTTTCTGCAAACGCGCTGAGTGACAGGGCAAATTAATTGAAATGCATTAAGAGAATATATTAATATGAATTTGCTTTTAGCAAATTATCTAAAAAAGTAAATGTTATAGTCCATTATGCATCTAAATATGCAAATGTACCACCGCTAGATGTCGCCACACTGCAAATATATGTGCACTTGAAATATTGTTGCCTGTCAAAGGATAATTTTAGAATTGGGCATTAAGTTGTCAACGTGCCAAAGTTAGTTACACGCCAATTTCACTTAAAGTTTCATTTGCTGTGAATTTCTGTCTGTGTGGGGGTTGCATAGAAAACCCATCTAGCTGCTTGTCAAAATCTGTAAAAAAAACTAAATGTCAAAAATACGCTCTGCTGCAAAGCTTGACGAGAAAATACTCCAGCACACATTTATATTGGTCTTTGGCGATGTGTGTGTGTGTGTTTATATATATATATATATATAAATATATAATTCATGCACATATTAGCCTAAAGTTCAAAGCAAAAGCGAGCTCAGGTCGGTAGTGCCCGGCTAGAGGATGCCCTGTACCAGCTTCGACCAACACAAATGAAAAATACTTGATCGGTTTATAAAATTCCATAAACTTTAATGTCCGATATATGGACGGACATAACAAGAACAACTTTGCGATTGATGCTGATCAGGAATACATATGCTTTATTACATACATTTGCACAAATAGGGTATTCATTAAGCATGCCATGGAATACATCAGTCATTGTATTCTTAGATATTATGCCATATAAAATGTCTACGGGGCAAACTAAATTTATGATTGGCTCCGTTGAGAGTTCAGAGTAAAAAGCAAAGCCTCGACTAAAGATTTCCGATTATTTTTATTTGGATATTGTTTAACTAATGCTTATCTAATACAGAGAAAATATTGTCGAAGCAATGTAAAAAAAAAAAGTTTTAAATATTTAGAAATATTCGAAAAACAGTTTCATTTGAACCCAGCTCTTATATGATAAGCTAACCCATTTAAAATGGGTATACGGGTTATTGTATTTGTGCAAAATCCAAATGTATGTAACAGGCAGAAGGAAGAAGTATATATATTCTTGATCAGCACCAATAGCCGACTCGATCTAGATCCAGCCATGTCCGTCTGTCCTTCTGTCCGTATGTATGAACGCAAGGATCTCAGAACCTATAAGAGCTAGAGACTTGATAAAAAGATGTAGGTGCTCCTGTTTCCGATAATCGATGACTTACTCCGTTTCCAAGCAATCGATAAAAATCGATATCGATATTCTGTTTTTGGGCAATTTTGGTAAATAATACATATAGCTTCTAAAATAGAATATATATATATGCATTTGATGTTGGAAGAAGAGGGTTCAGGGTATTCCCTAGTCGGGAGCTCCCGACTAGAACTTCTTACTTGTTTCTATAGATCCTGTTCCGTTTCGGTTCAATTGAAGCCCGGTTTGCCCGGTCTTGTTATAAAATGCATTAGCGCACAACTTTATAAGGTAAGGCAAGCAAAAGAAAATGAAGAAAAACAAAATTGTAGCTTCAGAGAGCTGAAGGCGAAAGCGTGCTCGCTGCGGGCATCGAATATTTTTCCAGTCGCCAGAAATGTGTGAGGCATTTGCAAAGGCCAGTAAGCACACACGCACAGCAGCCACACACACACACACACACACACTAACACACATAGCTCAGCACACTTGGTAAAGTCAAAGAAAAGATGCAGCAAAGTATTTGACGCTCTTGGCTTTGTTTGGCAACAATTTCTAAGCGCATATTTACTTCAAATTTTTGTAGCAAGCTACAGTTTTGTTTCTGTTGCTGCTGTTGTTGCTGTTGTTGTTGCAGTTGATGCAGCAATATTGCAAAATGTTATTTCTTACTTTTGTTTCTGTTGCTGGCATTTATATCAAAGTTTTTGGTTTGGGCAACGGGCTGGATTTTGCATATTTAAAGGTGCCCCACGTTGCATACATTTCGGCTGGCTGCAACTAAATGCGGCAGTAACCCTTTTGCTTTATATGTTTTGTGACGCAAGTATCTGGCCAAGGATAGAGTTTTTAAGCACGATTGCTGCATACTACCTTCAACATTCCACTTTTGTTATTGTGCAGCAGCTGGGGCATAGTAAAAGCATTTGAATGCCAAGTAAAGTTCACATTTTCGGTACAATTTAGTCAAAGCGAGTTGTTCTATGGACATTATTATGACAAATATCTGTTTTATATTCTATTTTGAAAGTTTGCCTTTGTTGAGCTTCAAGTTTTGCCTGCAATTAATTTGATTCAATTAATCATAATATTTCACGGGCTTTTCATCTTTGACAATGGGCTAAGCAGATTGAATAGAAGCCTGCAATTAGCATTGGACACTTTACAAAATATATACCAGCAGCAGATATTGCCCGGCTTTGTCAGGCTCAAGTTGTTTCTTCTTTCAATTTTAGACTAAACTTTTTAAAATCCTTGTTTAATCTTAAGCTTTATGGAGCTTTGAAAGTGAGCATAGAGCCGCAAATTCAATTGCACTTTAGCTCGCATTTTCCATTCACGCAGCGTGTAGTTTGGGAAAAGCATCTCGAATGAATTTTTATGAAGCTCTTTGAGAAGAAATTTGAAGCCGACGAAGGTTTCCCACCAATTTTCCACAGTTTAGGGTTTAGTTGTTCCATACTCGCCTAAGCGAGCTCCTTCTTGGCCGTGCAGCTTGGGCTTTACGCTGATCTCCCTCCAATCAGTCCAGCTTCTAATATATATATATATATATACTTATAGACATACCGATATCATCAATCTATTATTATTTTCATTCATATCTAACTACTCCATTAACATAACATATCCAGTCGGATAGCTAATCCTATTTCTTTCTCGCACTTTTATCAATTTAAGTATTTTTAACTTTATTTCGTTTACCCGCACTCGGGCCACTTAACTTGGCCCAATATGCATAAATTTTGTGTAGCTACAATGTTATGCATATTTCATATGTTATCACTGCGACAGTAAGATAAGAGACACACACACACACATGGAGCCGCACGTGTATGCATATGGAATGCGTTTTTTCGGGTCAATTTCAAGGTTCAGTTTATTCGTGGTGTGAAACGAGAGCAGACAGATTTTTGCTTGCTTTCATTTGTAGCTGGGTACAGCCCATTTTGATGGTGAAAACAGTAAAGCGCAATAAAAATGCCGCAAGAAATTAAATTTCTTTTATATTATGATAAATTGCTCAAAGTGAAATGAAGCCAAAATAGGTTAAGAGAGATGTATTGAAAAAAGTAACTGCTAGTTCTATCAAACACGCTCAAAGATTAAACGGCTGTCAATCTCTGGTTCTATCAATCATCAAGTCGGTCAATCAATTTAATAATCAATTCGTTAGTAGGTCAATCTTTTTTTCAAACAGTTTGTAAGTCAGTCAATCAGTAAGTCAATCATTAGTCAATCAATTAGTCAATCAATCAGTCAATCAATCAAGTGCACTCAATCAATCAAATTATTTATTCAGGTAATTCATCTATCAATCAGTCAGTCAGTAGGTCAGTTGCCTAAGATATCAATCAGTTCGTCAATCAGTCTGTCTGTCAGTCAGTCAATCAGTTCGTCAATCATTGTGTCTAGTACTCAGTTTTTTCTTTCGCTTAATCCTTATTAAGCGAGTCCATCTTAACTGCAAAAAGCACTATATTATCCAGATGACAGACGCACTGTGTGTCATCTGGATAACACACACAGCACTCACACACACATACACACACACACACACACACAGAATATACACACAGAGTCCAACGCGACAGCTGCCGCTCAATTAACAGACTTAAAATAAAGTCAGTCGCAAATATTTACAACGGCATCATCTGGAGAATGGTAAATACTTGGCTAGGGTAAATGGAGAATGTGTAACGGATGGACCGGGGTCGGGGCTGGGTAGTGGGTGGTAGCTGGTACACTGGTGAGACTGTAGCTTTCGGCCTGGCAAAAGGATAAAAAGCCAACGTACTTCATTAATTTTAATTAAGCGCCCACAGCATGACAAAAAGTGAACCCCAAAATGTGAGGTAGGCCGTAAAATCCACCTTTTGTACCATTGCCGCCTGCTAAATGGTGACGGGTAACTGGTGACTTGTAACTGGTGACGGGTGACTCTGGCAACTGGTGACTCTGCTAACATGCTGAAATGTATTTCGCGTCCCGTTTTACACCCGAAGAGATGTGTCGTAAAGAAAGAGGGGCAACAAATAAAACAAAATGCAAGAGTATACCAAAAAAAAAAGTAAATAAAAAGAACTGAAAAGGAATAAAATTAAATGGAAATTAATATTAAATAATGAACTACATGGAATATTACTTAAGGCAAACAGTGCATATTATATAAAGAAAACTAAGATAATAAATAAAACAAAAATAAAAATTATGAATAACCTGAAATTTCACAAAAACTATTTTTCAAATTATTTTAAGCAAATAATAATAAATTGAATTCAAATATTAATTAACATTTTTGGAATATTATATAAAATATTCTCCAAATTATATAAAAACAAATATAATATTAATTAATAATTATAATTATATGTATTACATATTATACTTTATGTATTATATCCCAAATATTTTATATTGTATCATAAGATAAAATATATAAATATTATATTGTTTTTCAAACGATTCCTTAAACAAATTTGCAAGATTTTAATTAAAAGAGGTTTTAAATTTTTTACTTTGTCTTTCGATTTAAAATAAAATTCATTGGATACATTCCTCTAGTCTGACAATTGTGTTTCAGTTAAAGATTTTATCTCATTTTAAAGTTAAATTTCCATTTTGATAAATCTGTTATCGAAGTTATCGAAGCACATTTCCAATGGCAATCACGAGCGCATCTCTGGTCGCGCCTTAAAGTAGGCAAACATTTTCGCTAGGTGCCAGCGAAAGTGACAAATTAGTCGCTGGCTTTTTAGCTTTTTGCTTTTTAGCGTTCGCCATTTTCCAGCTGCCATTTTTTTTTTTTTTTTTTTGGCTAGCCTTGAGATTTTCCAAGGAATAATAAATAAACGTCTCATGCCTTTTGGTGCTCATCTCGCAACTCTCTTTCTCTCTCTCTCTCTTTCTCTCTCTCTCTCTCTCTCTCTCTCTCTGTCTCTCTCTCTCTCTCTGGCCGTTTGTTTTTGTCTCTGTCTCACTGCCCAATCGGAGGAACGTAGCCGATTTTTAGTCTGGGGCAGCGCCTTATAAATATACATGTCGTGGGAAACATTACCATCTACATAAATAAACATCTATGTAGATCTCATGTCATTCGGTTAACTTTTTGGCGCAACGCGACCGCAAAACTTGAAACATTTCAATTTGGCTACGAAATGGTTGAAGTTGGCCGCATTTCCATGAGCTCGAGGCGAACTGGTCTTGTGGGCTGGGTGGATAGGGCTTGGGATGCGTGTGGCTAGCGAGCGCTTAGCTTCGCCTGGACTCAACATGTAACTCAAAAGCGGAACTCTGAATGCGTTGGCCACAGAACCACATGCAGACCAACAAACATTAAAGTGTAACTGTTAAATAAGTAACCATGGAGGAGCATGGAGAGGCATGGAGAAAGAAAACGTAAACTGAGATAAAATAGAAAATTGAAGCAAAATTGTTTGCATACGTATATGTGGACTAAAGGGCTAACAGAGCATGTGGTTAGATGCTGAATAAAGAGGCCATTGAAAATAAAGGTAGGGTATTTCATAATCGCCATATATGCTATGCATATAAGTATCTAAGATAGTAGAAGCTGTATCATATAAAATTTACACAGATTATTCCGAGCTGCGTTCACCTTAAAACTAACATAAAAAAGTCTGATTTTTAGACTTTTTTCCCGACTTGCAGTTGAATATAAGTTATTCAAGCCGTTAAATTGATGAAGTTACTGAAGAAAGCATTTGCCATAGAAGGACGAGAAGGCGCCGGGTACAGACTTGTTCGCAATCGCTATTCTTCATTTTATTTTCATTTTGCATTTTGAAACTGTCACAAAATTGATAAACAAATATAGTTCATGCCCTCCAACCTGTTCTAGTTTAGTTCTCAGAGGCCTTGAGCAATGCTCATAAACCTAGGTGGCCTTAGAGCGAGTGATTAAATGAATCTTAAGTGAATTGAATGAAATGAACATTTAGATTGCGAATAGTTGGCATAAGCCACAAAAATCAGCAGTAGCGACCTCAAAGAACTAACAAGTCCCACTAATCTCCAGCGTTTGAAATTTAAAACCTTAAACTAAGCGCACTTGCGATAAAGAAACATACAAAAAAAAAAAAAAAAAAATTACATATATATACTATATACAAATAAAAAAAATGAGGAAAAAAAAATAAATAAAACCTTCGCGCTTCTGGAATTAAGAAAATCCATTTAAGAAAATTTTTTTAATTGAAATGCGCGCGCGGTGCAGACACAAAAAAGCCATGAAAATGCCGCACAGAAGGCCAGAGGGAAAGAACGTGCAATAGCAAATGGGGAAGATGGTGGAGGGGGGAGGGTGGGCGTGGGCATGGCTTTGGCTTTGCTGCAAAACTAGCGAATAAGCAAATTGGAGCAACACGAGAAGAAGCAGCACAAACACCAAAAACAACATAAATAGTGCAAATCATAAAAGTTGCGACGAAAAAAAAAAATGAGCAAAAAAATGGCCATAGAATTGCCATACACACACACACGCACACATACGCGCCGCGGCTAATTAAATTAAAAATGTATCCAAACATGCGTCAGGCCAGAACTTACTAGTCCACCATTTCAATGTCATCCTCATCGTCGCTGCCAGCGTTGTCGCCAACCCGTCGCCCATCATCATCGACATCATCATCGTCATAGAATTCGGACTCCTGGGCGGCATTGCTGCTGCTGAAGCGCTCGCGGCTACGTTCGCGGCTTTGTGGTCCGTTCGTATGGCTGATGTTGCTGCTGCTGCCACGCCCACCATGGCCAGTTGCGCCCATGCGGCGTCTGGCATTATCATCCGGTGAGACAGCAGCACGTCTGCGTATCGATTGTACCGGCAGGCCGATACCCTGTTCGAGCTCCTCATCCTCCTCATCGCTATCGATCTCAATCTCGTCCAGATCACGTTGGCTAATGCTGCGCTCCGGCATGGTTACTATCTTTGGCTAGCTTTAACTTGCGTTTGAGCACGCAGGCACACACACGCACACACACACACAACACTTGATCGTTAACAAGAAAAAAAAAAGGCACAAGAAGTTGTTGTTGACACGTTTGGGTCCGGAGCGAGACAATCAATAATGGACCAATTCAATACCAATACGATACTCGAATACAGGCACAGACACTGCCACAGCTGGAGACTTGCACCGAACGCATTCAAAACTGCAATTGCCGCAGCGAGTGCGTCCCCAGTTGGCAGCAAGCGGCCAAAGCAGCCAATTGACTTGTTGTGGGGCTTCGAAAAGGCCGCCAGGTGATTTTTCGCTGCTAATTCAATTAGCAGCAAGCACTAAGATATAAAGCAAGCACTTTTTTTGTTCTTTCACTTGTTGTTTGTTTTTTTTTAAATGGGGTCAGCGATTTTTGGGGGCGACATTGTGTGGCGGCCAGCAATCTGTGCACCTGCCTGCCTGTGAAGCCCATGCGTTAAGCCAATGCGCTTTAAATGTGAAAGTATCTTTCAGATACAAAAATCAGACAGCTCCAAAAGTATCTATCAGATACAAAAACCAAAATAAATTAAAAGTATCTTTCAAAAACCAACAAAAGAAAATAAAGTATCTTTCAGATACAAAAAATTCATATTAAGAAATGCAAACGTATCTATCAGATACAAAAATCAGACAGCTGCTTAAGTATCTTTTCGATATAAAAAATCAAAAAACAACAAGATTATATTTCAGATATAAAAATCCAATTAATTGAAAACTACATATCGGGTACAAAAAATCCAAAATTTAAAAGTATCTTTCAGAAACACTTTAAGAAATGCAAACATCTTTCAGATACAAAAGTATCTTTCCAATACAAAAATCAAAAAAACTGTGAAAGTATCTTTGAGATACAAAAATGAGAAATCTACAAAAGTATCTTCCATACAATAAAAATCGCAAAATGAAAAAACTGCAAAAGTATCTTTCAGATACAAAAAGCACGCTTCAAGCGACCAGCTTAGTTCTTTCTGCAAGTTTGTTGTTTCCGCATAGAAAGATACACGTGCTCAGCACCCTTCAACTGCCTCACACCTCCCACCACGCTCTCTGGGCTTTGTGCTTTCAGTTTTAATTTGAATGAATGCAAAAGTATGTAATTGTTTTATTATTATTTTGAGTTTAATTGTTTTTACACCCTTCTACGGGGTGCCATAATTTGGTCACGAAATGTGTCGCCGACAGCTTGGGGCTTATATATTATACTAGCAGGTATACTCCGGCTTTGCCCGTGGTAAGTATAAAATGAATTCTCTCAAAGATCTTCGAATATTAGTTTGAAACCAATCGGAAGTCAAACACAAAACTTTCATACAATCGATTTCCACGTATTCATTAAGCTCTTATGTAGAGCTTAGAATACAAGTTTGAAGCTAATCGAACATAGCCTCAAAAGAAGAAAAAAGTTGCCAGACTCAGATGCTAAATTGATCTAGACCAGGAACACAGAATCAAACGTCTAGCAAACCAGATGAAATTTGACCGAGTGAGAGGGGAGGTGGGAAATTTCGACCTATGTCTGTATAGACTTTTCAAGGGTGAGTGTGTCAGTCAGTCATTCAGGATAAACATCATTAGACATCATTGACTTTTACATATGAACAAACACATATCATAATCGGACTATAATATATTCTATATGGCTAAACTGGACTTGGGCCATTGCAACAGCCACAAATTGTCGTGAGGACTCGAGACCGTGTCCTGTCTGCGAAGCTTGTCCTTTGCCAAGAACTGACTTTTTGGACAAATAATAATCATATAAATAAATAAAAATGTCCTATTCTGTTTTTTCCCAGCCTCCATTTCAAATGCGATAAATATTATTTGCCAACTTTTTGTCCGCTCACGCAAAAGTTGAGTTATACACACATTTTGTCCTTTGAGTCCTGCCTATTTTATATATTGATTTGATAATAGACCGAAAAATGAGTAAAGTATTAATTTTTGACACAGTATGGCAACCAAGAGCAAACAAAAAAAGCAAGTAAGAGCTCGACTAGGAGATACCCTATAGCCAAGGCCAAGCTGCCGTTACAAGCACTCTAGCTGCCTTCTCTGCTTCACATTTTCTCAGCGGTTCTGTTTCTTCTTCCTCCCTTGTAGAAAGTTTCAAATAAAAAAACTGTACATTTTAACCAATTCCTGCAGTTACAGGCTATGCAGTCTCGCCTGTTAAGTACGCGCTGCTGAGCAAGATAAAGGGTAACTATTAGTCGGTCATTTGTCTGCTAAATATATTGATTTTCGAAGCTGGCATAGCGCATACGGGCAGCTGGCTTATTAGCTAGCTATTTGCAAACAGCAGCAGCAGCAGAAGAAAAAAAAAATGATTAAAAATTATCGGCTGGTCGACTGTTCGGCTGTTTGGCCATTTGACGGCCGCTTTGGCAACGTTTCCGCGGCGTAGCCGGCAAGCCAAAAGAACCATAAAATCGAAAATGAGCTGAGCCAAGACACAAAGGCAAAACGCGCGCATTTAATGAGCCATTTCAATGCCAAGGCGCGGAGTGTGCAGCCAGTTGAAAATGTTTTCATACCCTAGTCACAAATTGCAGACGAGTATATTATTGGTCTTGTGCATTTGTCGTTCTGGCTGTCTGTCTGTCCTTCTGTCTGTCTATAGCTGGCAACTTTGTATATATTTTCCGGGTTTTTTCTTTATTTCTTATAAGTCAGATGGACTGGTAGATCGATAGATCGATAAATCGATGCATAGATAGATAGATAGATAGATTGATGGGCAGAAAGATATATGGACAGACAGATAATATGGATAGATATATCGATATCGATAGATAGATATATCGATATTGATATATAGATATATCGATAGATACATAGATGTATCGATATCGATATATAGATATATCGATAGATACATAGATGTATCGATATCGATATATATATATATAAATCGATAGATATAGATGTATCGATACATATATCGATAGATATATACATCGGTAAATATACAGCTATTGATAGATGCATGTGTCGATTAATAGATCAATTGATAGATATATAAATAGATAGTTAGCTAGATAGATAGATGGATAGATAGATAGATAGATAGATAGATAGATAGATAGATAGATAGATAGATAGATAGATAGATAGATATATAGATAGCTACATAGATATATCGATAGATAGATGGATAGATATTCGATAGATAGATGGATAGATATATCGATAGATAGATATATCGATAGATTTACAGCTAGATAGATGGATACACAGTTGGATTTATAGATAGAAGGATAGATTGATTGATAGATATTTAGAGAGATAGATAGGAGCAAGCGTGGAAAGACCGCAATTCCGTATTTTGTGCATTGAGAATGATGTGAAAGGTTTTTCTTGAGATACAATATCTTTTTTAATTTATTAAGTTTTTTTTCGACTTTCCCAGACTTAAGTCGATAAAGTCACTTCAACTAACATCTTCACCCAACGTCAACTACAGAACAGAGTATTAAGCAGTCGTTCCCTATTATCTTTCACTGTTATTTGTTTTCTTCCTGTGCTTTTTTTTATTATTTTTCCAAAAATTATGGCAGACCAAAGATTGCAATTACATGTAAATAGGCATATGCATATATTATACAATAACTCATGTATTTTTGATACAAATATTAAATAAATTTTCTTGCATTCGATAAGTTTGATCAAATTCTCCTAAAACTATAATATTTTCTGTTAAATGCTATGCGATATTCGGAGACTTTTTTGCGATGATTTTTTCATTCTTTAATTGGTTTTAAAGCGAATATTTTAAAGAATTATACGCTTTTTCCATCTAAATATTAACAGAGTTATTAAATTTTTGCCTTCTACAACATTTGCTATTAAAAATTTGCAGACTTTTAGGAATTTTTTAATTGGTTTCAGAAATTTATTCGAATTTTCAGCAGAAAATCAAAATGAATTCAAATATCGATCAGAAACTATCGAACTATAAGAACTATCGATAGTTTTTGCCGTAAACACGCCAACATATTCTCAAGTTTTTCGGAATCAACTCATTTGTGCAGAATTTAATTAGTTCAAGTATTTGAGGACGAGTATGGAAAATGAATTATTAATTAATTAATGTGCTTGATTTGGTTTTGCCAATGAATCAATTTCTGAAACGTTTTAAGCTAATTAGATAAATGTTATTTTGACATGGCCAATGCAATTGGCAACTTGCAACTGCAATTTAATATTTTATACAAACTGCTCTAAACTGTCGCGTTGCAATTAAATTAATGGCAATTATTGATGTCAGCGAATGACTCGAATGACTATTTAAGCGCATGTTAATTAAGGACCGTTGCACTCGCAACTCGCAAACAACCCAACACCGATTTGTATATCAATTATGCATACGAGTCGATGACGCGATGACGTCACAAACCGACAAAACCAATGCCAAGGCCATCGTCGCAAACTCTTGTCAGTCACTGTGGCAGCCAGCTGAGTGAAGCAATTACGCGCAAGACGAAGATAAACACAAAGGCGGATGTCAAAAGCAAAAGCACAGGGGAATAGGCACAACAACAACAAAAATAAACCCAAAAAAAGTGAGAAAAATACAACAACAAATAAAAGGTGTCAACAGAAACAACCTTCGAACTGTGGCGAAAACCTAACGCAATCTTTGTAATCAGTGTTATAAATTTTTAAATATTTATAATACAAAATAAAAGTGTTAATAATTAAAGCTGACTGCTAATGGCAGCTATTAAGCGAATATAAATAAGACGAAAATAAACAGAGCTAGAATAAATACCCTGGCCAGTTAAGATAAGCTCAAAATAAAGTAATTGTGCTGTTTAAATTAAATATGCCAATATGTTTAAGGATCTTGCAACACTAAATTCGCTTAAAGGCAGCTTGCAGTTCTTTACAACACTGAATTCGCATATGACAACTTTGAAGATCACATATAGCCGACTTTGCTTCTTACCGAATTACAAACAAGTCCACAAAACAAGCAAGAGAAAAAAAAGAAAACATTAAGAATAGAATAAAACAATAGAAATAAGAAAACACTCGTAATAATTTGTTAAGCAACCCACGTTGCGAATTCTGAGTAATGCTTCACACAACGCACACACACAACAAACCATAATATATTTTAATGAATCTATATGCATATAAATATATTATAAAAGTGCTTAACTCGCCCCCAGCTGTGCGGAGTCACGCGAGAATAACAACAACAGCAATGGGGCTGCCCATATAAATTATAAATAATTGAATATTTTGTGACGTCGCAATCGCATCGCATCGCATCGCATCGCTGTTGATAACAGCGATAACGGCTCGTGGATGGCCTTATCAGCTGTGCCCAAGCTCTTATCAGCAAGGGGCCTAAAAGACAACACTTAAACGCTCGTTAAACATGACTAATTAGTGCGAGCTGACAAGGCCAGAGTATCAGCGTGATTTCACAGTTACTTCGTGACTTGTGAACCCAAATAGCTAATAGAATGCTATTCATCGAATTGGATATGCAAACAGTCTGATAAGAAAGCTGTCTAACGTGTTAAGGCCTGTCCTTTAATATGGCTTGGGAATCCAACAAGAGTTTTCTAGGGTTCGATTTTAATCGAATTCGATCATATTAATCGAAAGGTTTAAAATCATAAATAAATATAAAAATGATATACAAATAATATTTAAAAAATAAATAAATATTGTTATGGCAATAATAATAATAATGTCATTCCAATTGGACAGCCGTATCAGGAATTGTTAGCTGTTCGCGCAGCACTTAAAATCAATTAAATATTATAACTAACTGTAATTGAATTACGATAGACATAAAGGAGATGCATTTGGCCTGGTGCAAAGCTTTTTATCCATTTTTTAACGGCAACTTAGCGACTTAGCTGCTTAATTAAAAATTAGCGCAGCTGTCACATCAATTGGAAAATTGCAAATTGGAAATTGGAAATAATGAATGAGTGAATGGATGAATGCATGAATGAATGGTGGATGCGAGGGGGGCACACTTAATAAAAGTGTAAAGAAGATGCTGGCACAACAAGTCAGGCAAATAAACAAGTTCAAGGCCAAGCACACACACACACACACGCACACGCACACATTTACACTCACCTGCCGTTGGCTGCCGGCTGCGCAGCTGCTGCTGCTGCTGCTGCTGGCTGCAGCGGCGACGTCACAAGCGTCGACGTCGGCGTCGACGTCACTATCACAGTGTCGGCCAGCACGGGCCTGTAGATGAGCGGCTTAACGTTGCGTTCGATGTCGTCCAGGAAGACGACATCGTGCACGGGTATGAGCCGATGATCGGCCACATTAAAGTGCAGATCGCGGAAGGGTATGTTCAGCCGACAGCGCAGCGTGGACGAGGCGGCTGCGTCCGTATCGTGTGGCGGCAACTGCAACAATAACAACAGACAATGCATTCCAATTAGTTGTAAGCCAATTGGAATTGTAAATCCAATTGAATAGGATGCAGCACCTTGATTTTCCCATTGGCCGCAGAGAACATTGAGCACAATCAAAAAAAAAATAAATAACAATATTAACTAATAGAACAGCCGCATAGCATTCGGCTATGACAAACACACACAAACACACACACACACACACAGCACAACAGCAAAAAATATATTTAAAAAAAAAAAAATAAACAACAAAACTTTCAACACGCGTGCGTACGTCGCGTCGCGGCAGCGCGCAGCGGCAAAGAAAATAGGCAAAACAGAATGAAAGACACAAAAAAAAAAAAAACAAAATAATAATATACAAAGTCTGGGCACACGGAAGAAAACACAGTTTAACTGTGCTTACGATTTGTGATTTTCTTAATTAAAATGTTTGTGGCACATTTAAAGCTCATTGGACTGCGGCTGCGGCTGCGCCTTCACTTTGCATTTCACTTGCCCAATGCGGCAGCATTGCGACAGCCAGCAACAAAAACAACAGACACAAATTCACACACAACGGCAATATAATTTATAATCTTGAATGACGCCTGCTGCGCAGCCCCCGTACGCTAAGCAACTGGCGCCGCACTCCAATTGGTCCATTGGCTGGCGATCAGTTTAAATCAGCTGTCTAACTGGCTGTTTAATGTCTAGGTGGCAACGCCAATTAACCAGCCAGTAGCCAGCGCTGCCAGACAGCTGGCTAGCGGCATTCGCCAACACTGATGCGCAGCATTTGACAGCACTGTGCAGATAGAAGCAGCAGAGCAGCAACCAAGCAAGCCATGAGAAATGTAAAGATTTTATAACATTTAAAGTACAAACACTATAAGCAATATTATATACACCGACAATCAGGTAAGTTACCAGCTAATTGTGTTAGCATTTGTTTTTGCAGAGGCGCAGCCCAACATATTTCGCGCTGCTCTGCCCAAACGTACACTGCTGCGTCCATTTGTATATACGCGAGTGCCTGTGCATGTGTGTGTGTGTGTGTGTGTGTGCGTGTGCGTGCGTGCTGGCGGCAAAAACAATGGCAGCATAAAGCGTGAGAGCGAGAGAGGGAGAGAAAAACATGCTGCAACCTCTGACAGATTGACTGCAATTGCTTTGAAGGCAATGTCAAGAAAATTAATAATATTTTCAATACAGCTGCAATTGCCATTATTTAATTTATATTCATTTCTGTGAATTTGCTCTTTTTTTTTCCCCAGAATTTGTGCAGTCGCAGCAGCGTGCCCCGAAACATTTGCACAGTCTCGGAGACAACAAGAACAAGCACAAACGATTTAACAACATTTATATTGTTGGCTTTTCGTTTAGTTTTATTTATTTTTTTTTTGGTTTCTTTCGGTAAGTAACTGAAAATCAACAAATGCAACGGTGAATGCTAAGCTTATTTTTGTGTTGCCAGATTGTGTTTTGTGTGCCGATTGTGTGCGCGCGCGAGAGAGAGAGAGAGGAAGAGCGAGAGAGAGAGAGATGTCGCATACCATTTTGCTGGTGCAGCCGGGCGCACGTCCAGAGACGCGCACATATTGCGACTATGAGAGCGTCAACGAGTGCATGGAGGGCGTCTGCAAGATCTATGAGGAGCAACCTGAAGCGGCGCAACCCGAACAAGCCGACAATCACCTATGACATCAGTCAGCTGTTTTGACTTTATCGATACACTAATTGACATTAGCTGTTTGGTCTATCAGAAGAGCACAAACACATATGCGCCCTACAACAAGGACTGGATCAAGGAGAAGATCTATGTGCTGCTGCGCCAGGCCGCGTTCAGTCCGAATGCCTAAATCAAAATCAGCCCAAACCAAATACCAACAACAACAACAACACCAACAACAACAACAGCAGCTGCAACAACAAAATATCGAAATAGAGAAAGCAAATCCGCAAATGAAATCAAGTTGTTTTAAACTTATTTCTTTGCATAGAAAATAGAAAAAACGAAACGAATAAGAAAAGCCTAATAATAATTAATTAATAATTAATAATTAATAATTGCAACAAACAAC